GAATCCGTATTCTGTTTTTTCTGGTCCATTGTGTTTTTCATCTCTAGTAATTCTGTTTGATTCTTCTTTATAATTTCAATCTCTTTTGTGAAGTAACTCCAGAACTCGGCTTGTTTCTCTATCTTTCTCTCTACCTCATTGAGTTTTTGGAGTATAGCTGCTCTGAACTCATTTTCATTTAGTTTACCTAATTCCAAGTCCTCAGGACTTAATTCTGTGTTTTTATTGTTTTCCTTCTGGTCTGGGGCTTTTATAAATTGCTGGATGGTAGAGGAGCAGTTTTTTCACATGGTGGGAGAATTCAGTTGCAGTTACAGCCTGTCGCCACTAGATGGGGGTCAAGAGCCGCGTGTTCTGAGCTCTCCGCCTTCGGGCAAGATGGCGGCACCCAGTGCACTTTGCCGGGGCGGGGGCGGGGGCAGTTTCTCTCACTCACCGATCTGGATTCGATCAATTCTGTTCTCTGGTCTCCCAGGGCCCTGCGTTTATGGGGTCCCCGCCCATGGAAGCTTTCCCCCCGTCAGCGGGTTTCCACTGTACCGGGAGTCCTAGACGATCCCCTGGTCGTGCGGCCCCTCCCCCGCTCCTTCCCAGACCCGCGTGGCGATCCCGGTTTCTAGGGGATGGAGCGATGTTCTCTCTTACCCCGTTCCAGCTCCTCCGAGGTGGGCAGTAGGGGCTCCGTCTTCTGTCTTTTGATACTGTAGGTCTCTGAGTCCTGGCATTAGGTTCATTAGCTGAAATTCAGGTTTGTTTTTTTTTTTTCAGTCCTTTGTTGTACTTTGGAGGGGAGAGAGTCCTGGGTCAGCTCACCCTGCCATTTTGCTCCACCTCCTCTCCCAATATCCTTTTCTAACTTTATCAGTACTTTATTCTTTTTGATGCTCTTATAAATGAAATTGATTTTTTAACTTCCTTTTCATATTGTTCATTGTTAGCATATAAAGATTCAATTGATTTTCATGTGTTGACTTTCTATCCTGCTATTTTGCTGAATTCACTATTATTTCTAACAATTTTTTTTGGTGAAATCTTTAGTTTTCTACATATAAGATCATATCATCTGCAAGCAGAGATCATTTTACTTCTTCCTTTCCAAATTAGATGTCTTTTATTTCTTTTTCTTGCCTAATTGTTCTGGCTAGAACTTCCAAAACTACATTGAATAGAAGTGGTGAAAGCAGGCATTCTTGCATTTTTCTTGATCTTAGAAGAATAGCTATGGGTTTTTCATATATGGCATTTATTATGTTGAGGTAGTTTCCTTCTATCCCTAGTTTGTTGAATGTTTTTATCATGAATGTGTGTTAAATTTTGTCAAGTGCTTTTTCTGCATCAACTGAAATGATCATGTGGTTTTTTGCGTTCATTCTGTTAATGTAGTGTATTACATTGATTACTCTTCATATATTGAACCACCCTTTCATTCCAGGAATAAATCCTGCTTGGTCATGGTGGATAATCCTTTTAATGTGCTGCTGAATTCAGTTTGCTAGTCCCTCTTTTTTTATTTGTCTATTTCTTCTTTCTACCTTCTTTTGATTTATTTGAACCTTTTTTAGTTTTCCATTTTAATTTATCTATTTGGTTTTGACTATATCTCTTTGTATAATTGTTTTAATGGTTTCTGTAGGGATTGCAAAGCACATACTTAAATTTTTACAGTCTAGTTAGAATTGAAATTTTGCCATTTCATTTGGTATGTAGAAATCTTAACACCTTATGAGTCCTTTTACTCTCTCCTTTTTATCTTAGAGTTATTTTATCTTAGTATTACAACCACATATATTGAAAACTCCATCAGACCATATTATAATTTTTTCCTTTCAACTGTCATATATATTTTAAAGAACACAAGAGAAGACTAGTATTTTATACTTACCTAGATATTTACCATTTCTGTTCTTTCTTCATTCTTGATATTTAAAATTTCCATCTTGTATCATTTCCTGTCTGTCCAAAGAGCTTCCTTTAACAGTTATTTTAGAGCATGTTTGCCAGCAATGAATTCTTAGTTTTTCTTCACCTATGAATGCCTTTATTTTCCCCACATTTCTGAAGAATATTTTTTGCTGAATACAGAATTCGGGGTTGACTTTTCTTTTCTTTCAGCATTTTTAAAATGTTGTGAGAATTCCTCTTGCCCTCTACAATTTCTTATGCAAAATCTGCAGTCATTCAAATTATTGTTTCTGTATGAGTAATACATCATTTTTCTCTGGCTGTTTTCAAGATTTTTTTATCTTTAGTTTTTAGCAGTTTGATTACAAAGTGTTTGTGTATGGATTTCTTTAGGTTTATCCTGTTTAGGATTTGCTTGACTTCTTGAATTTGTAGGTTTATTTTTTTATCTAATTTAAGAAGTTTTCAGCTATCATGTCTTCACATATTTTTCAGGGCTGTACTCTTTCTCCTTTCCTTCTGGGACTTTCATGACATAAATGTTAGACCTTTTGGGAATGTCCCACTGTTGAGTTTCACCTGCAGACATCTTTCCTACTTGCTAAAGACAGTTCTTCTCTCCACCAGGTGGGTTTTGGCCTCCTTGACCCAATGAGCCTTTTGCAATCCTCTCAAAACTCAGAGATTGGCATGAAAACCCCACTGAGAACCCTGTGGTGTTTTGAGGTGGTGTAGATGGGAGGAGAAAGTGGAGGCATAACCAGGGTCCCAGGAGGCTCTAAGCTGTGCCTTCTGGAGGCATCACTGGGCCCAGATCTGTGAGTTCACTGGGTGTTGGCCTTAGCTTATCTGCTCCTCACCTTGCTCAGGTAGGTGCATGGGGGAAGCATAGTTTGGATAAGCCAAGTAGCTCAGAGGTTAACATCTGAGGGGCCTCCAGAATGATTAGAAAGTTCTGGACTCTCATCTGCTAAAACGCTCCTACAAGGAAAAATAGGCTTCATGAAAATATGTTAAACTCAAAAGTTCATTTGGTATTCCCCCAACAATGGACTGATCTGTTTGCATAAGTTCCCTGAATGCAGCCACTAAGATACATAACAACTATTTAACTGTTAGAGAATAATTAGCTTAAAACAGTTATTAGCAGGCTTATTCTAAGCCCCTGGAGTATTAGATAATGCAATCATTCTACTTGAAAACCTTATTCTTTACTAATATTACTTCATGTAGACAAAATGCTGCAGAAACCTGCACCAGGCCTCGTGAATTCCTCCCCCGCTGCTCTGGCCACCTTGGTTAACAATGACCTATGGTGCAGCTGGGAACCTGCCTCCACCCTCATTCCTCCTTTAAGTATCTTGGGACTGGAGAACTGGACACAACAGCTCCAAAGGTCACAGGTGCAGGGTCACCCACACGATAGTCCCCTACTCCCCAAGATAATCAGACCCTCAAGTTCTTTCATTCTTAAAACAAAATTATTATAAAATGTAACACATGTTCATTGTAGAAAATTTGAAATATACAGAAAAGCAAAAAGCAGAAAATGCAACTTTTAATCTTACTTTTTATCTTTACTCAGTGATAACCACCATTAAAACTTTGATGTCATCTACCTATCTTTCTATATACTTAAAAAAATAATAATCCCCTATTGTTGGACACTCAGGTTGTTTTCAATTTCCTGCTAAAGAATTCCTGCTAACATTTTTGCTCACATCTTCTATTATTACCTTAGGATAGATGTCATTTCAAGGAATGTCATTACTGAGTCAAAAAGTGCACATTTTTAGAGCTTTTTATTCAAAGCTGACCTCCAGAAAAATTGTATCTATTTACTCTCCTTTCAGCAATGTGTGAGACTGCCTGTTTCCTTAGACTCTTACTAGTATGAGGAATTGTAATTTTTTTAAAAAGTCATAGTTTGGTACATGAAAAATTTGCATTCTTTTGATTATTGGTAAAGTTGAGCACACTTTTATGAGAATCTTCATCCTTTGCATTTCTTTATTCTGAGTTACCTGTCTCTGTCTGTTGTTCATTTTCCCATTGGATATTCTTTATCTTTTTTTGTAGATTTATAAAAGCACAACATATAACAAGGAAATCAATCTTCTGTCTATCATGTAAGTCACAAATACTTCCCTCAGACTGTTGTGTGTATTTTAATTTTACTATCTTTTTTGGCCCACATTTCTTCCTCAAGGGCCCTGAGAGCTGCATTTCCAGCCTCTAGGCTCTTGCCAGAGGAGGATCCCATCTGTAGATCTTCCAATCCCATCTGTAGATCTGCTTCACTGATCACATCATTAATAGCTCTGGATCAATTTCCTTTCCATACTCAATCTGCGTATTCAACAAACATACATAGCTCATCTGACATGTGCAGGCACTTGGGCTAGGTGTTAAAGCATATTATTTCCAGTTCACAATGTTTCCTGTAGCCTAAGGAGAAAGAATCTGGTGGGAAACCATGGGGGTGAGAACGAGTATTTAGTGAACACCTCCTGCATGCCAAGCTCTGTGCTGGGCATTTTGTCCACTGTCTCGCATTTAACCCGCACAAAAATTTTTGAAGTAGGTATTTGTGATGGTACATTTTATGTCAACTTGATTGGGCTGTGGGCTGCCCAAATATTTGGTTAAACATTTCTGGGTGTGTCTGTGAGGATGTTTCTGAATGAGATTAGCATTTGAATTGGTACACTGAGTGAAGCAGACTGCCCTCCCCAGTGTGGGTGGGCCTCATCTAATGTGTTGAAGGCCTGAATAGAATAAAAGGCTAGTAAGAAAGAATTCTCTCTCTGCTGAAGTGTCTTTGAGCTGGGACATTGGTCTTCTCCTGCCTTCAGACTTGGACTCAGACCAGAACTTACACCATTGGCTCTCCTGGGTCTGGACTTCTCAGCTTCTATACCACATAAGCCAATTCTTTATAATAAATCTCTTTACATATGTATTTTATACATGTATATTTATATATGTGAAATTTATATATAAAAATATATATACATATATGTATGTGTATATATATATCTATCCATCTGCTATTGGTTCTGTTTCTCTAAAGAACCCTAATTGCCCCCACTTCACAGATGAAGATATGGAGGCTCAAAGAGTTTCAGTCACTTAACCTAACGTCACCCAGTTGGTAAGCAGCAGAATGGACACTTTGTCTGTTTGGCGCCAAAGCCCATGATCCTGCATTCCACGTGGGCCCTGGGGACGGTGCACTTCGGCAGGGCTGGGATCAGCGGAGGTGAATGAGGTGAGTCATGAAAGTGCAAGGTCAGATCTTGCCTTTATTTAAAAGTTTGATGTTTTACACATCATGGATTTTTGCATTAATTTTTATTTTAAAAATATATTGCATTAAAATATTTTTTCTCTTCAGTGTTGAATTTTTTGCCCCCGTCCCTTAAATTTTCTGCCCAAGTGAGCGCTTCACTTACCTCACTGTAAAGGAGAAGGATCTCCATTCTTTTCAAAAAAGTAAAGGTGGAGAGCTGGGAGGTGTGAACTTGGTGAACTGAGTGCAGACCGGGGTCAGAGATCTGGGTTTAGATGGGTTCCCAACGGTGACTGTGCGGTTCTGAGCAGCATGCTTGACCTTTCTGTGCCTCTTGACCTGTCAGCAGCAGACCTACTTCTCCTTGCCTCAGAAGCAGGACTGGAAAATGAACATGGTGCTCAATATGCCCGTTCTTGGAGTTCTGTAGAAGAAAGATGTTCCAAATAAATGCACACGATTTTGACGTTTGGTGATGAGCAGTGTTCTAAATTATCGCAGCGTACATAGCATTTTGTTTAAAAGGCACACTTCATTCCCAGCCCAGGCTTCCAGCAGGCAGGGGTGGTTAGACAAGACGTTCCAAGGCTCAGGATAGTGGGAGAAAAAAGCCTCTGTGTTCAGGCTGCCTCCCCCAGCCCAGAAGCAAGCCTTCTGGGGAGTGGTCTGTGTTTCTATGATGGGAGGGAGAGGGGGCTGGGTGGGGGACCTGAGGGGAGGCTGCTTTTTAGCGCTCTGGCCGGAGAGACCTGCCCAGGCTGCTCACTGAGGTGAGGTCTGCGCAGTTCGCTCAGGGCTCCCACATTCTCCATCCATATTCTAACCATTCTCCCCTCCGAGACACATTCCCACTCCCCCTGCCTGGAAGGCAGCCTGACAGCTAATCACTCTCCCGCCCACTTTGTCCACTCCAGCGGCCACATGACTGAGGGGAAATGGCAAGAAACTTGAGTCCTGAAACTGGGCCCAACTGATAGGGCCGGGTTCCTGGAATCGCAGCAGAGAGGCGGCCGGCGGGGTTGGGGCCAGCCTTCCCAGGGCTTGGGCTCCATCCTGCGTGGCGGGGTTTCAAAGTCCATGCAGGCCCCAGCTGGGCTGCCTGCCGCCCACAGAAAACAAAGAAATCCAGGCCCGAAGGCCCGCTCCTCACCCAGGGCGCCCTCCCCATCCCACAGCCTGAGGGACTCTGCCTGCTCCTAATCTCCCTTGCACAGACACTCTCCTCCCTCAGGGCACATTCCCTTGGAGCACAATTGCTTGTGCCCTTACTTGCCTTAGAGGGGCAGAATCTGGTCAGCACGCAGTTTGTCTCACCCTTCTTTAATAGTAATAGCTGCCACTTGCTAAGCACTTGCTAAGCATTATCTTATTTGCTCCTCACTCTGGGAGGTAGGCACTATTATCATTACCATTCTACAGAGGGAGAGACTGAGGCTTCAGGGAGTAAAGTAACTTTCCCAAGGTCACTGGTAAGTGGCCCCAAGAGTTAAGCCTGTGTCTGTTTATTACCAAAGCCAGCGCACTGAATCAGCAAGCCAGGGGTTTCAGACACCTTGGACGACAGGGGTCAGACTGGAGGAGTAAATGAGAGACGAGGAGCAGGTAGGATTTACTGTAAGCTGGGAGGTGCATGTCTGTCTGAGGGAGAAGGCATTCCACCTCTTTAGCTGATTTTGCCATGTGGAAATGCAGGCCCACTGCGGCCAACTGAATTTTTCAAAAAGAGTTTGATGAGCTGGCCCTGTGGCTGAGTGGTTAAGTTCGCGTGCTCCATTTTGGCGGCTCAGGGGTTTGCCGGTTCAGATTCTGGGCGCAGACATGGCACTGCTCATCAGGCCATGCTGAGGCAGCATCCCATATGCCACAACTAGAAGGACCCACAACTAAAATATACAACTATGTACTGTGGGGATTTGGTGCGAAAAAGCAGAAAAAGAAAAAGGAAGATTGGCAACAATGGTTAGCTCAGGTGCCAATCTTTATTTTATTTTAATTTTTTTAATAATCTTTTTATTTATAGCTTTTTTTTTTTTTGAGGAAGATTAGCCCTGAGCTAACATCTGCTGCCAATCCTCCTCTTTTTGCTGAGGAAGACTGGCCCTGAGCTAACATCCATGCCCGTCTTCCCCTACTTTATATGTGGGACACCTACTACAGCATGACTTGCCAAGCTGTGCCATGTCCGCACCTGGGATCCGAATCGGCGATCCCCAGGTCGCCAAAGCGGAAAATGCACACTTAACTGCTGCGCCACCAGGCAGTCAGGTGACAATCTTTTTAAAAAAAAAGTTTGAAATCCATATTTTTAGGTGAAATGTCCTGATTTTTAAATTTGGGCAACTAGTTAAAAATAAAAGCAAAACAAACAAATTATGTAGCCTAAACAATAGAAGTCGTTGAGTCAGATATTGCTCATGACCTAGCAGTTTGCAACTTCTGTTCCATATAATTGCACCACACTGTGCTCCATGCATATTCAGTGTACAGTGAATGTTTGTTACATTAAATGGAAAATAAACTAGCCCTACTTTTGAGGACAGCTGTATCTTAGGGTGAAAAAAAAGTACAATCTCAAATATTCTTAAGAATGCATAACTTTAAATGACATGGCTTTGGTGTCACCTGCTCGGGCAGCATACGACCAGTGAGATGGTATGTTCATCAGATGCTCTGCAATGAATCCTCCTCCTGAGTATCCAGAATGAGACCATGTCCTGGAAGGAAGGACATGTTTCTGCGGTGCTTGGCCCTGCAAAGACTTGGCTCCTCTGAGCGGTCCTCTTCCTCTCCCTATCTCTTACCTGTGGAAGCATCCCAAGACAGCCCTGGAACCTCAGCAGCTCTCTCTCTGTCTCATCTTCCAGAAAGGGCTCTCAGCCCCTCTCACAGATTCGACTGTCACCTCTACACCTCACCCATGCCCAAAGCCAAGTTCACTATCTTTCTCCCAGAATCAGCATGCCCACCCTCCAGCTGGCCTCATTTCAGTCACTTGCACCATCATTCTTCTGCTTGGGCAGCTCCCAATCCCAGCCTCATTCTTGAATCTTTTCTCTTTCCCTCCTTCATCAGTCAGCCCCAAACCCTCAGCCAATGTTTCATTCCACCTCTCATCACGTCATACCTGGCCACTGCTGTATGCTTTTAACTGAGGTAACTGGGATCATATTTGGAGATATTAACTGAGGTTCCCCCCATTCCTTATTTTTTTTCCTGTGGCCCTCCTACATTCAAACTAGACTGTGAGGCATCCATCAATTGCTTCAAGACAGAGTGGTTAAAGATTAGCAAAACAGTCAAGTTCGATTTGAAATTCAAAGCCAGCAATCAGGTTTGAGGACCAGGGGCTCCGTCCCTTCTTTCCCCAGAACATAAATATTTCCTATGCTGGCATTGGGGAAGATATGGAAAGGAGCAGACTGGTGGGTTTCTGAGAAGAAACCCTGAGCTTTCCTCCTACACCCAGGCTGAGCCCTAGATAGATTTGGGGGCCATTTCAGAACAGAGGAAATGTCTCATTTTCCAGGAAGGAGCCCAGCACAGCCCAAGCGCTGAGGAGTAGAAATGGCTACATAGGGTATCTGGAAGACATGAACTCACCTGTCTTCCCAGAGTCTCCTGTGGCCCCCAGGAGGTGTGGGATGACAGCTAGATTTCCTTAGGTTCCCAAGAGAGGAAAGAAAGAGCTAAGGGCTAACCGAAAAAAGGCCCTCTGGATGAAAGCAAAGGAGGCCATACACAGCTGCTACCTCCTTGGCTCCATGACTGCAGGCCTGCCAGGAGGAGGAGCATCTCAGCAGGTGCCGGGGTGGACAAATGACCACCACCCACCTGACTCCCCTTCCCAGAGCCCCCTGCCCATCATTGTAGCCCTGCCCCAAGACCCTAGAATTCATACGCAATCTTGCGGGGAGGGAGGAAATGGGGCAAAATTAAATTTACATCCCTACCCTCAGAGAAGAGGAAACATAATATGGGAATTGTAGAAAAATACAGTTGTATTTCTTATGACTCGACCTTGTGTCCTGAAATTCATAAGTGCTCTTTGCCTCTGTTCTCTCCGTATTCCAAACTATTCTGTATTCTGCAGCTAGATTAATTTTCCTAAAATACCACTTCATACTTTTGTGGATTCAAAGAGTAATTATTGAATGGCTACAGTGAGCCAGGAGCTCTGTTAGTGGATTAAAAACCTTAAATGGAATGTAATAAAAAAGATGTATGATAACATTGCACCAAGATGCCATTTATCAAGCAAAAATCCAAAAGTCTGACAACATACTCTGTTAGAGAGGCTGTGGGGAAGCAAGCACTTAATACATTGCAACTGGAAATGCAAAATGGTACAACTCCTATGGAAGGGAATTTGGCAATATCAAGCAAAATTACGTTTGTATTTGCCCTTTGAACAGCTATGCCACTTGTAAGAATCTATACCAAAGAAACATTGGTGAAAATATGAAGGGATGTGTACATAAGGCTATTAATTGCAGCACTATTTATAATAGCAAAGAATTGGAAGTAACTCAAATGCCTATAATAAGGGACTGGTTAAGTAAATTATGGAGTTTATTACTATTAAAACACACAATAGATTACCATGCAGCTATAAAAAGTAATGGAAATACTTCTACATACTGCTGTGGGGTGATCTTCAGAACATATTATTAAATGGAAAAAAAAAAGTGCAAAATACCATGTATAGTAGGTTACTGAGAAAGGGGAGATTATTTGATTATATATTCACATTGCTTATATATTTTTTAAATGCAAGGTAACAAAAACTAATAATGGTTACTTATAGATGAGAGAGGAAATAAAATGGAGTAGACAAGAATGAAAGCAAGACTTCTCCAAATGTACCTGGTTTTACGGATTTTTGCCTTGGAGCAATGGAAATGCTTTACATAATTATAAAACAAAATGAATCAAATTAAAACTACAATGCTTAAAAATTGAAAGTAAATAAAACAATTAAG